AGCGAAAAGGACACGCCTGGATCAAGGATCCACCGCTAACTGGCGGAAAAGGGATCACGATGAATAAAGAGGGAGGAAGGGGCTGTCGGCAATGATGAGTGATGTCCATTTCGAATAAACCAGTTTAACTTTGGAGGCATGGCAGTCAGGGAGCTTGGAAGACCGATAAGCAAACCGTCACGGAAATTCGGCGTTATGCCCAAAATGCACTTGAAATCCTCTTGAGACGCCACATGCGACCGGAGATAGGCGTCCACAGTTTGCTCAAATAGCATGGGTTTAATCAAGCAGACGAGCCAAGAAGGGAAGGCCTGATATCTTCAAGCATTGCAGTCTGGCCGCTCCGCTCGCTGAGGCGGCAATGCATGTGATTCTAGGGCCTTAAGAAATAGCACCTGGACTGGAACCGAGTGAAATCGGTCAACCAGAAATAGAAGGAACGGATCGACGAGACAATGAGGGGATCCGGATTTGTGGCCCGAATGGGATCAGCCAATCGAAAGAGAGGGGTTCGGGATGAATAGAAAATGTGATGAGGCCATACTCGGTTTGTTACAAAAGGGCACACATTTTGACGAGTGCAATGTAAACAAGTGAGAAGTTGTGATAGGGCGGTAGTGGGATAGGAGGGTAAAGAGTAGATAGATAGACCAGGACAGAAAGAGGAGTAAGAGTGTAACCGTTTTCGGCAGAACGTTTGTCGAGGGATTGACTTGACTTGTCTCTTTGACGAATTCGTACCTCGGTGGTAAGAATGGCAAAAGTGACTGATGATGCCGGCGAAACGTTTGAGAATGTACCAAGTCCACTGTCTGATGCTGGGACTCATGACAACTAGTACGGCAGACGACTTCGGACAAGGTGCGTTCTACTAATTCGCCCTGACAACCCACTTGTAAAATATTATGCTCTAATCACTTTCTCTTTCCTCACGAACTTACCATTACTATTTAACAAAAAATTATCAATTATATCCTCATCGTGGTGCCAAATTGCAAAATAATAATTCTTATATCTATCCAGAAGTTGTTGGAGTAAATCTATCAAACGCTCCTACATTTTTGACATGGGCTTATCAGCCAAAATTTGAACCATTTAAAATTCCATTCTTCTTGCATCTGCCATAAAAACAGACTTTCTTAGTTGATCAGTCAAATGTACCCTCGCACAAGCCGCCAAGAGGCTTGTGCAGCCGTCCGACGATTTCTCTCTGGGCCCCCTCGACCCCGCCACTTGTAGTTGCCGTCCTCACTACGGTCTCGACTTTGGACCTGGTCAGCAGTCAACAATACACACCTTTAAACCACA